TTTGGTAACTTGTTGATCAGGATTATAATAGCTTCACTATCAAGGCTGGTAATCACCTCATCAATGTTTGGTGTTGACTCAATGAGCATTGTCAGATCCTCGGGACTTGCTTTCATCAGAAATTCTGTCATCGTTCTAGAGTGTGCATGCCTTCCATGGGCTCCACTACCCCACATCTCCTGCATTGCCATCTGCGGATATAGGGCGCTTTCGAATCCATGACACCATGGGCTGGAGCATCTGTAACCGCAGATGCCAGCTCGACACCTGTAGCCAGTATTTGCACTTGAATGCCAAACAGCTGTCTGATATGACGGAATTGTCGGATGTGTTGGATAACCGAAGCCAACGACTATGAGACAGGTGATCACAACAGCAAAGATCCTCAACAGATTCATTGCAGAGATGTGATGTTTTGGATTTTGGTGTGCTCTTTTATAGACATGAATAGAAGGGTGTTCCATGGTCTCACTCATTTCATTGGTTTGGTGTCCTAGTCACGCCTCACTAACCCCGATTAACTTCTCCGTCAGTAACAATGACCTCATGTTCGGCCGTGTTACCACTGTAACATGTGTGCTGGGAAGGCCATATTTCTTCACGTACAATGATGTTCGTGTTTTGTTCGACATTCCGTATTCACAGGGTCACAGTGGCGAAACTGTGGGTTTCTCTATTCTGACGGAATGTTTAATTCATTTGGTTCAATTTAGCCTTTTTTAATGAAATCGTAGTTGCATTTTCTTCTCTTGTGCCACGTCTTCTCGTAAATACTTGTTGCCAGATAATGTCACCATTGCAATTCCAAATGATCACCTCAGTGTGGTAATTTAGGGTACCACCACAGGCCCACATAATGTCACTTGTGAACGCTGATTCAGGTAGTGGGAATTTGACATGCAAGCCTCTTCTGTCTCCAATAGATCCACCTCCACTCTTGTGCCTTTGATCTACAACTCCTTTCAAGCCATCTCTTCCCTTATTCCCTTAGTTTTGTATTTGTTTGCAATGTCTAATTGTGCTTTAGAGATAGCTGTGTGGAAAGTAGGCACAATGGGACGATAATTTAAACGCCTACCTCACTCACTGCGTTAAGTGGACTTGTCATTGCACAAGAAAGCACCCAACTAGGTCACCCCAATGTTGCAGTCACTAAAGCGTGGAACGACTGAAATCCGTGCTTCTGCATATGATACCACATCCTGTCCTGCTTGCCCTCTCACTTTGCACCGTCTGATGTCCTAACTGGGTCAACTTCTCTACACATATCTAGGTACTACGATCTCCACGTGCTCTGAAAACGATGTCTCTATAGCCTTTTATCAACCTTTATACAGACGTGTCCATTTGGTAGGTGGTCATGTAAATTTTGTACAATGTAAGGGTTTTCAACAGCTCTACCGCCTTGAGACGTCCCTGAAGATGAATGAAGGCATAATACCATGACGGAACATGCATTATCAACACGCAGAGTGGCTTGGGAGGGGCTGTTGACTTGGCCTGGAGGCCATGCGGCTATGCGAAATACAAAGGCAGAGCATTCAGTGCCCACGAAACCAGGTGAGGTGTTAAACAAACCATCGAAGCATTGCAAATCAATCTGTTCGAACAATTGTCAGTCGCGTCTCTAACGCTGTCAGTGTCATGCAAATTTGCCATGTTTGCAGCTGTCACGACTATTTTACCGCAGATCTAGTCTATGCTACCAACTGGAATCGTCCGAAACCACTGCACCCATACCTCCTGCAAAATTAGGTGTTTATGGGACAGTGCTTATCTTGTGTTCTTCAGCATTTTACATACCCATAGTGCATTAAATAAATACCAACACAAGTATTTATTTTCTTCTTTCCAAATCATTTATGCGAAACTCACGGATAAAATGCGGAATATAGTTCTGTTGAAACCTGCATTTGCGATGTTCATTCGAACACTTGTTCCCCGATTTAAATAATTTCCAATCAGTTATGCCGATCCTAAGACACAAAACTAACTTTATGTTGGCAAATGATGAAATGACATTGCTTTCATATAGTGTATTGTGCATGAGTGAGTGGACAAGTGATTAGGAAAGTGAGTTAATGAATGCCTGACTAAGGGAAGGAGGGAGGAAGGGAGTGAGCTAATGAGGAAGCAGGGTAGCACATTCTTCCCACAAGCGACCGATAATGAAATGAGAGAGACTGATGCAAACTCCTAACAGTTGTCAGTGTCATGTACTTTTATCACATGAGTGATCATGGTCATGGTAAATAGTCGTTTTGATGGTAGTTTCAGTAGTCTCACTTAGTCTCAGTCATTGTCTTGACAGTATTCATGTTCATAATTTCTGCTTAAATCTACGCCTTGACCTTCACCTTGACTTTAAAGTGGTTATTAGCACACCCGAAGTTTATCCGTATGTGACAGGAGCTAATCAGGCAGGGCTGTATAAGCACAGCAACAAAATGGTAACCAGAGTAAAAAGGAGAGCATGACGTTTTGGATTGTTTTTAAATTGACTACAAGAATAGAAAATTTTGCATAGGCGAAATGGGGAACTTTGATGTTGCATGGTTGCAGGGTCTTATGATCTTAGTCATTCTGTCATTTATTCAGTCAGTCTGTCTGCTTGTTGGTTGGTCCTGTATGAGTTAAAAGGGGTCTTTGGTCTTTAACACATTAGCATCCATACTAATGTTGTGCACTACATCAAATCATAGAATGGTTCCAGCTTACAACACTCCTCTGCCGGTTTAATCATCTGCTACTTCAGTCTGTATGCTCCTTCTGCGAAATAAAGTGATAGCTGCTTAACTCAAGCTATTCGGTTTTTTGCTTGACTGAGAAGAAGCACTCCTGTTTGCCGCAATTAAGGGCACCAATTGACTTTTATGAGAGAACTTCCGCATCCTTCTCCTTTTTCTTCTTCTCCTCATCCCTTTTTGCATCTTCAGGACATTTCTCAACTCATTTCTGCAAAACCTAGTTTAAGTTGTTGTTGTTCCATCCAATTTATTTGCTTTATCTTTTAAAGTTTCGGTGTGGAGAATTATGGCAATATCGATGGAATGTGCGAAAGCGCTGTCTTTGCACATCCGTCTGTGCTGAGAAGCTCTCGTCAATGATTCATCAGCTCTGTAGATCACAAACATGTCCTCATGAGAGCCGTCATGTCTCACGATGGCATGAAGTGTAAACGTACCTAACGCTCTCTCCTCATCTGCCCATTCTTGCTTTAAATGGACAAATATAGGACTTTGTGTACCACGACTTCAACTACCTAGTGGATAATCCCTCCAAGTTGACCAACTAGTCGTAGTCGGAAAGATATGTTCAATTTGCATGTGGATTGACCAAATTATTAAAGCCTTTGCTCTCAGCGCCGTAGTGCAGACATCATAAGCAGGCAGTTGTGTCATCCGCTGTTGTCCCTGTGTATTCAGTCGCATATGTCAATCGCCACATTTAAATGACCGTAGTTTCTATATGGCACCCAGTTCAAGCCTTGTATTATCCTTTGGCATGGGAGAGCTATGTGCTTGCTAGAAATGAGACATTATTTCACCTATGAACCTATTTGCATGCGATATTGTAGCCTGGGATCTCATCAAACGATTTATATTAGGTGAGAAAAAATCGACGAAGAGGTTTTAAATAATCACCTTTTTTATTTTTAACTTATTATTTATTCGATATTCACTCTATTTAACACAGTACCTCCACACCAAGAGAATGCCAACTGAAAACACAGCAGTAACGATGCTCTTCTGCAGCAACTCAGAAGATGAAGACGAATTTCTTCAGCTTTACTTCGATAATTAATTCCAAAATACGTCAAAACAAATGTTTGCCTGTGAATGATTTAACATCGAGGGGTATGGTCAATCAATTAGACTGCCAATTGACTGTCTACCGGTTAGTGAAGCAGTCAAAAGCGGGACACTAGACCATGCTGATGGATTTGATTGGTGGATTAGTTGGTCGTTGCACTGGGCCACCAGCCGTCTGGTCATCCATCCAGTACCAATCCACTCAAATGCACTGTGAAATGGGTGCCGACCGGAGAGGGCTGGGCAGAACACCGCAGCATTCGACTTTGCATTCCTTGTTGGAAGGGCAAAATCTAGAAGTGGCACATTCGGTGTTCCCCTATTCCATGTTCTAAGCATTGTGGCATGAGCCGACTCAAATGAATTGAGTGATTCCTCTCAAATGCTGATCCTCTTTTGATATATCGTTAAAAATTAGTTCATATAGTGTACTGCGCATAAGTCAATCATGTCAATGAGTCACGATATTGACAAAGGTTTTGTTTAGGATGCTCCTCCTCCAAAAATGTGTGTGTCATGAAAATATGAAGCAAAGACAGAAATAAACTACTGCCCCTAGGTGATATATTAGAAATAGCAAGTATCACTTTGCCATTATCAATATCCTAGAAATCTTGGATCTTTGAACCTGGAGACGACAATATGAGGATGGGGTGTTTGTTGCTCTGCGCTGAGAGCGTCTTACATGTCAAATGCCAATGGCTTATCCCTAAATCGTCTGTCCCTTGGTAGGGATATCATGAACCAGCAGTTATACGTAAACAACCAAGAAACCTACTTATCGCGACGCCCTGTTGCCACTTTAATGCCTTCCAGCCAACCGCACATTCATGGTCGTACCAACTTCCTTCTAATAGCACTTTATTCTTTATTGTTACATAACAGCTGCAGTCTGCATATCAGTATCGTGCTCCAGTTCAATTCAGGGATAATTGTGACTAGCTTCTAAATTTCCTGCATTACAGCGACTCGTTATCACTAGTCACGATTTCGCCCATGACGCAAGTCAGGGAGTATATTGTGGCAAAGTCACCATTGTATGGTACAGTATATTTACTCTGGTACGCCTGATCTGCGTCATTGCAGACGTCTTTTGATATCACAAGGCCTTGCGTCGGAATCATGCAGACGTAGGCCGACATTGGGATGGGTGGATTTAAATTGTCATTTCTTCAGAGAGGAGGTAGCACTAAATTAACTACTGAAATAACCTTGTAATTTAAAAGAGCAAACCTAAAATTGAACCAAAAAATCCATCTCTTTCCCTCAACTTCAAAAGGTAATCCGCAAAGTGCACACCTTTAAATGCATCAATCGTGCCTGTAATGTCTGAAAGATGTGGACTGAAGGGTCCCAGATGCTCTGGCTCTAAATCAAACAAGATTTTTGGAAAATAGTTCAATAATTTATATAGAGCGGCCAGTTTTGAGTATATCTACATCAACACCGCATCACGGAGAGGTATTTTTGACAGCACCGCTTTAAGCCCCTCGTCTGCAGATGCAGCCACCTCACTTGCAACTGTTGTCGGCAACTCTTACAAAATCTACTTTTTAACCTCACGCGAGCGTTGGATTCGTTAACAGAGCAATCGTGGGTTCCTTTATAACGCATATTTAGCAAGAGAGGATAAAATTCACTGCACTACGTCTGTACCCATGTCTTTCAAGTATTTGAGTGTGTTCGGCAGTTTGTCAAGAACGACTTCCAGTATGTTGCGATTCATGTTTAGCAAGGTGACGCCAAATTCAGTCACATGCGCAGCATTGTACAAAAGTGTCCGAGCATTCATATTAGCTAGCAGACCTGGGAGATTTCGAGGGTTCTCGATTACGTACCTAACGAAGCTTGGCACCTTGTTCAACAAGATAGTGGCGTATAGAGTAGGAATACTCGTCACAGTTGATTTAATGAATTGCACATGCTTCAAAACCAATGTGTTTAGTTAACCAAGAGTCTCCTTAGAATGTTCTGAAGCTTACACGTATCATGATCATTTCGGCTTCTAGGTCTTGTATCTCGTCAATACCTTCCCTCACACTGCCATATTCATTCCACATTCCACTTCCATCATTACGCCTTGCCCCTGCCCACTCCATGGCATTTCCCACTTTGTCACACAATTTCGATACAATGTGCATTTTCGTTTGTGGCCTCAACTTCTCCATCACATTTCTGAGGTTTGGTAACTTGTTGATCAGGATTGTAATAGCCTCACCATCAAGGCTGGTAATCACCTCATCAATGTTTGGTGTCGACTCAATGAGCGTTGCCAGATCCTTGGGACTTGCTTTCACCAGAAATTCTGTCATCGCTCTAGAGTGTGCATGCTTTCCATGGGCTGCACTACCCCACACCTCCTGCACTCCCATCTGCGGATGGAGGGTGTTGCCGAATCCATGACACCATGGGTTGGAGCACCTGTAACCGCAGATACCATCTCGACACTCGTAGCCAGTATTTGCACTTGAATGCCGAACAGCTGTCTGATATGATGGAAATGTTGGATATGTTGCATAGCCAAAGCCGCCGAAGATAAGACAACAGATCACAATGACAGACCATCAACGAACCTATTGCAATGATGCAAGGTTTTGTTTTTTAACGTGCTATTTTGTAGAACTTTACAAAACACGGTTCTAGGTTGTCACCTACACTATTGGTTCGTTGGCCTAGTTACGCCCCACTGTCCCCAATCCATCTGATCATCTCTCACAATGACCTCATGTTCGGCTGTGTTACCACTGTGACATATGGATTTAAAGAACGATATTTTTTGAGTTCTCTGATTTCCATGAGGCGTAAAGTCATTTCGCATCTAAATTCTGATAGAACTAGATACGGGTCAGAGTGAGTGCCTTGAGCCTCCTGTTCTTCATCGCCGCAGATGTCTCCTAGTGACACAACGCATTTCACCGCAGTCATCTACACCTCTGTCTACATCGACATGCACTAGTTAAGAGTCGCTCATTGACATTGCACGCAAAGGACTAACGATGACATGCTCAAGCCTAATTTGCATGAAGGAGACCATGGAGGGCCAAACATGTCCTACTCCCATCACCTGCTTCACCATGCACATGGTTGTTGACAAACAATGTTCCGCGGTGTCACTTCACCTACGCTGTCCCTTCGCTCACTCGGTGACTGACATTTATGATATACTTGCAGATTGGGTTTTACTTTATCAACACCGGCTGTCAATTACAAGAGATATTCCACAAATGACGACGAGCCCAATTGAATTCAACTGCATCTCACCTTCACTGCAGCTCCTCAACACATGTCACCAACTACATTGTGCACGTAGTATCAACTAACGAGGCCAGTGCTTTGGCACTTAGACTGCATCCTCCTTACAGACTTCGTGTTCGTATGTGTCTTGTCCTTAAGCAGCAGTCTAGACTCGAGGAAGTAATTTGTATGGCATTTGAATGATGAATTAAAGCCTGTAAATCATCCACCTCCTTAGCTGACTAGTAAATGATTCAACGCACAGCATTCATCGCAAAACATCCAAGTGAGGAGGTGCAATGAGTGAGGACAACAACCATAACAAACACTGAACTTTTCTTTGACATGTGACCATGACCACTTGATTGTCACTATTTGGAGAGCTATCCTGTGGTATTTATTGTACAAACAGTCAATGGACAAGGGAAAACAATCACATCTTCTCCATTCCCTACTATGTTCACCATTACTTTCAATCTCCCAACATCCAAACGAATATTGCTCTTATTTTAGGTCCACCATTTAAAAATATGTAAAGCTCCCATTTCGATTCTATACGCGATTAAGCAGTCAGCACCGCTGAAATGGTACCAAGGCTAAGAAACTGGATGATGCCTCAGGGATGTTGGTTTACAGTGTCACCGATTAAATAATACCCTGTCAAAACTACTTGAAAACTACTCATTTTTTTCAACTTGATGTTAAAACTTCCTATTCGTAAAAATACCAGGAAAGTGTGCCACCTAGCCCATCTAACTAAAGCATTTCCGAACTACCACTAATTTGTTTCATCGAATAGAAAGTCAGCATTGTAGTTCACACAGTAAACATCTATTAGAAACATCGAATTAGCTACGTTGATGTCGAAGGACACACACGTGGAAGCCGAAGCTTGCCTTCTTCAGCCAATTTTCTACAAATGCTAGTCACAATTAATTTTTTTGCGGTGTTCATTGTAGCAATAGCATCATGAAGAAGTAAATTAATTTTATCCAGCGCCTCCTGATTCGCAGTAGCTATGACTTCCAAAAGAGTTGGAATCTTTTGAAGCAAGGCATGTAATTTCTTTGAGTCAATCCAATTCAAAAACTGATCAAAGAGGGGTATTTTCAACAGCACCATTTGAAGCTTCTCAACTGTAATAGATGACACCCCATTTTCATCTGTTGTTCCTACCTGTTCCGATTTATTAACTGCAACTCCACTTTTGGCTTCTTTTTGCAAGAATTCAAGGGGGTATTCAACAAGAAATACACTTATTTCGTTGAGCATTTTTGTAGCATTAAATATGATTGAATTAATGTTCCGTAGCATGGTTGGATCTAAGTTGACTAGGATTCTTGATACATCAAGCAAATTGTCACGCAAAATAGCCACTTTCGCTGGGTCAGACATCTTTATGACGTTGTCAATTAGGGGTATTTTCGATCGCAATAAATGAGCATAGTCGACTGTAACCATAGACGCTTCAGTTAC